AATGAGAGAGAAAAGTGGGCTGCCAGTATGAAATGGGAAAACCATAAAGGAATATATGGTAGTCAGTAATCAGTTAAGAGTCCTGTGCTAAGGTTGAACCAAAGTAGCAGTATGAGAATCAATAATATATACCGATTATAGAACAAACCAATCAAAGAGGTTACCTTTGAATCCTTATCCTGGTAGGTAATGATCGATGAGTGCTCCTGTTGCTTCTATCTCTGCTGCGAACTGCAGTTAAGAATCCGCGGGTCAGGGCTATTTGCTCTAAGTACGGTACTTATAAGTCCTTTTCCTTCCTTCCTTCCTTCCTTGCCTTTCTTAACCGTATACAGTACAATATATAAAGAACAATATTGGGAGAGAAGTATCTAAACGATAAGTCAAGTTGCTCCTCTAATTTCTCTCTTAACTGCACTGTCGTGTCTTATTCCGCTCTATTGACTCTGTTATTAAACAGTCTTGTAATCATTCCAATTTTTCATAGTCTTCTATCGAAGAAATAAAATGAGTTATCAACATATAATTACTTTGGCATATTTATCTGCTTATCTTCCCTACGAGTTTGGCTCGGATTTGCTTACTCTTTTTAAAGGATATAATAGTGCTTTACGGAAATATTGTACCGGTACTGTACTTAAGTCCGACAAGTTAAAGTTGGAAAGAATTCGGCCTGGCTGGTAGGTGCTAAAGTTCAAGAAAAGCAAAAAAAAAAAAGGGTGAGAAAAGAAAATGAACCTTTCCTACTAAAAGACATAGGGCAGATGTTTTCGTACAAGGCAGGGATTATTTTGCGGGTTAACCTAAATTAACTGCGAAAACTCTAGGACGAATACTTGTATCATACTTGATATTACAATCAATGCGAACTTACTGCACTTCTGTTAAGGCCTGCCTGCCAGATGTCTGGCTCAACCCATTTGGCTATTATCCGGTCACGCAGTAGCACCGGCCCACTGTGCTCATCATACTGTACCTTACTTATACGAGTACTGTATTTTTGACCAGACTTCTGTAGTCTACTGTAGTCTACTGGTAAGAAGTATCATAATCGCTAACGGATAAGGGAAAGAAGAAAAAAAAAATGGATATATTTCATAGTACTACCGGTATACCCGTGCCTATACGTTTCCCAATACTCGAGTATACAAAGAACTTGGACTAAAACCAAAAAGGGGAAATGAAAAAAGTGCCGAAATTTTCCTTCATCCCTCCACCCCCCTGTCTCCCCGATTCACATCAGAATCAAGGCAGATTCTGCGACACTAACTCAGGGAAAGAGTACTAGTACGGTATGTTTAAGGCAAATAAAAACAAAACAAAATAATATAAAACACGAGCGAAAAGAGGAAGAAAAAAAGCAGCAGGAAGGAAGAACAAAAAGCAAAAAATATATTATAAAGGAAAAATTAATCAACCAAGTCATCTGTCAAACATGCAACTATATACCTCTTACAGAGGAAGGGGAAAAAAAGAAAAAAAGGTAGTGCTTGTAGGTTATCTAGATCTTCTGATCTGACCCGATATCACAGCATATATAGGCAGCGGTATTGCGTCTTTCCTGCTGCTCCTTATTCCTAAATTGAGGGAGTTTTTTTTTTTTTTTTTTTTTTTTGAAAAAAAGAAACTCCTCTTTCTAAGTTATCTTTACTAGGATACGGTAGTCGGACAGGATAGAATCAGGCAGGTGAATACTCAAAAAAAAAAAAAAAAAATTTTTTATTCAACTCAAGCTAAGTAAAGCTCATGTGAGCTTCATTTTTCCTCCTCTAAAGTGAGAAGAAGAAGAAAAAAAAACCGAAACTCCTTTCGGAATAATCGTCCGATCTCCCCTAAGACCACTAGTACTCTTTCTTCAACTAACCAGACCTGTAAGTATTCATACGGTCTACCGGTATACATACATACATATATGAACCTTAATGCGATTGTCTGCTATTACGGTATCAGAGTGCTACTACCAGCGGCCTAGCCAGTGCCGATACGGTTTTTATTCTTTCTTATTCCATTTCGCAACAGCTGCGAACACACATGGAAATACTTATTTCCTTTATTATTATTATTATTATTAGTACAATGTATATGTGGGAGAGCGATAGGAGTTGAGGAGGAGGTGATGTGATTACCTATTGATAAATAATTTAAATAATTTCATATTTCATGATGGGGTTATAGTGATTAAGCTAAGTCAGAGGCGGGAAACAGTTAGTATTTGGTCATATGTTCGCATCGTGGATACCGTATCATATATCATAGTACCATACCGCACGTAGTAGGAAGTTCTGCGAGTCAGGTGTCATTCAGTAAAATCCGAGCCACTATGTCTCAACTGCGCGATAAAAGAAGCAGAAAGGTGGTGCTGGTGTCATAGTGGCTGTACTCAAGTAGTAGTTGTAGTATAGTAGGAGGTGAAATACAAGTGTGATAGAAGTGTGGTTCGTACAAGCATTTCACAAAAGCACTTCGTTGGCATATCATATTATGCCCCCCCCCCCCCCCCTCCTCACCCCCCGCTCCGCAGAGAACATTATTCTCGAAAAGCGCACGTATAATAGGACGTAACAGTACCGGTATGCGTGCGACGGTCGAGTAGGGTAAGATATTAGATAGAGCTAACCAAGGTCAAGCAGCAAGCACACTCGATTAAAAAAAAGGTGATTAAGTTCCTTCTTATAATATGGGGAAAGTTATTTATTTTGTTATACCGAAATAAGGAACGAAGACAAAGTTCTTTACTTTATTTCTTTGTTCCTTCCACGGTAGCAGATTAGAAGGTGAGAAGACACAGTACTGGATGCAGTGCCGAGCTTCCTACTCCTATAGTTTAAGTAGGCTGTGAGGCCAACCTTACGCCTAACTTATAGCAATTACATATGTGTTCTCAAAATCTTTAGAGGGGATGATGAAGGCGTATAAATGTGAACGAGTATGATGATAAGAAGCACTACTTATCATACAAGTCCAGAACCATTATTGTGTTGCACATTCGAGTCTCACCCCTCTCGTTCCCTCCAACTCTGTCATGGCGACGGAATATGTACTATAGTACGACGTTACCAATAATACAGTAAATTGTAACACAGTAACGACCAACCTCCTGCAGAGCTGATCCCTTTCCAACCCCTTTCCACATTTCACGAGTAGCAAATGGTGCTGTACGAGTACTGTAAACTGTTACCCCTAATGCCGGTACCTCTAAGACTCCCCATACCGACAAAAATAAAATCACAAATTCTTGTTCGAGACCGCTGCTTATAACTCCGCCCGCATACAAGTGCCTATCTTCAGCTTCATTCCAAGCCTGTACCTTCCGCAACCGCTGTATTGTACGAGTATTTTACGCAAGTGGAAGCACAACATCATAACTGCGTACAATTACCAGCGCCATGGCTCCCGTAGCCTTCAGCTCCCATGGAACATTACATAAGCGCAGCAGCACCTGGCCTGTACCTGTACCAATAGCATACAATCCACTTGCTATAATCTCCTAATCAGTCAATCTAGCAAGTAAGCATTGCGTTGTACGCAATACTGGTATGGTACGGTACATGACCTGTAAGAAAAGAAATAGGCGCAATCTCACCTAAACAGCGCTTTAAACAACCGCACGGTTTATCCCATCCCCCCTCCACCTCCCAACCAGGTTGAGAAACCCGGGAACGGGCGGGTCCGCGATTAAGCATAAACCCAAACCTGCTCCTACCCTCTGCTCCTCTTCCGTCTTAAGCGACAAAAAAAATATGATAGCAACGGATCAGTGTCTCTATTTTCTTTCTTTTTCTCTTTGACTGTACCAATTATAGGCTTGAGATTTGCAGGGTCGGTCTGTATGATGCAGTAGCTCGGGAAGTTTGGCAGCCATACTAGTAGTACAGTACGTATGCAATCGCTATGTGGACTGGATACTGACAGGATATTTATGATTCATACTTGTAACAGTGCCCCCCCCCCTCCTGTGAAAGTTTCGAGTATTCACTGCCTGACCGGCAGAATTCCACTCCAAAAATACAAGTTTTTTTCCATCTTCTTTCTCCAATTAACTGCTGTATATTGACTCCTACTTGGAACAATCACCCACCGAGCCATATCAGGGCAAATCCACGGCTACGTATAGCACAGTACGATATGGTACCCGGTGGAAAGGTAAGTATCGGGACCCGCAAGCTTAGGAACCGCACAGAGTTACTAATTACAAGTATTCCTAGATTTCACCCACAACAAACTTGCAGAGATGAGTGTCTTAACGGTACTCTTGAGGGTGTACAAGCTTGGATAGGGTACTCGCTAAGTAACTAGCACTTTACTGCTGTCCCTAATATCCATTTCGATATCTTTGGTTTTGGCTTGTACTGTATGTTTGTCTGGTCCCGGGAGGTCACCGGCAATCCCCGATTTGTGGAGCGAGGGAGGGGAAGGCTATGGGGTGCCACTTTTGCTTTGGCTGTGGATTCATCTGATGTTGTGATTTTTGCTGTTCCTGATTACGCTTTACCCTGACCATAGGTGTTATATGAAGGGGGGGGAAAGATTCGTCTTGGTACTCGGGAATCGGCTTCGGCTTGAGAACCGTATTACCGGTATCCGACAAGAACCAGAATATTCTATAGTATCAAGTGCAAAGAAGAGGAAGCCGAACGGTCCGAAGAGATTAAAACCCTCCATTTCTGCTGCGATTTCGGTGTGTGAAACATTATCACCTCTCGAAGCAATTTCTCTTCGAGAAGCATCTTCTGAACCTGCTACTATCGTATGTCCTGGCTCTTCTCAGGTACTGCGGGAAAGCAAGCACAAGCACCGGGTCTCCGACGCATCGGCACAAATCTGGAGGAAATATATCAACTCTATCACCCACTCCCCTACCCAACCCAATCCAGCATCTCCACTCGGCACAGATTCAGTGTACCATATATCGCTAGCTTACATTGTTATTCCTTCTCACACCCATATCCATTCAACCGAGCCCCAACACTTCGTCCGCCATACCTACGTGCCCAGAAGGGTCAGGAAAAATTGTCATTAAATTTTCATCAAGTTCCCTTTTCACAGACACAACAATCACAACCCCTCACTCGTCGGACCTCCTTCGGCGTTTTCCACATATGTAGCACAACCGCCCCTGGAAGTGAAAAAGAAATAAAATCAAGTGCTCGTCTCCCCCACCCTCAATAAATTCGTTGAGTGCCTAGAGGGGGGATACCGGTACCAGTATGGTATGGTATCGGCCATTCCGTCCATCACATGCTCGCTCAGTGCAATATGCTGCAGTTCTAGTAATCGCTCAACTTTTCAAAAATTGTGTCAAATTGACAATAGAAAATGTAATATGGTTGATAATAATACAGCACTTGAAATTCCGAGAGTGTAGAAGCATTGTACAAATACATAAGCTACCGTACCGCAAATTCAATGTGACGGTGCGATACGAAGGAACATAAAAAACTAAAAAACGCCCTGCGCCCGACTTACATATTTTTCCCCCGAGAAAAGAAAAAATGGCCGATTTGGGATGATGATAATGGTGAAGTGTATGGTGGGGAAAAAATAGACATGCTGTGATGATCAGAGAAAATGTGGTAGAGAAGGGGGGGGATATGAGAAAAGGGGAGTAGAAGTAAAAGGAAGCCAGTATCTGGCAAATGCCTGACCTGAACCTGGCTTGCGGCAGGCAGGCGGCAGAAACTCAAATCCCCCGATGAAATAAACGAAAAAAAAAAAAATAAAAAAAAGAGAAGAAAAATAAAAGCCAACGAGATTGTCGTGATTTACTGTAGATGCGAGGCTGAGAAGAGAACCATCCCCCTCAGAAAAAAAAGGGAAAGGAAAGAAGGTGACGCGGGGAAGATTGGTAAACGGGTTTGTTCACTCATCCTCATCCATCATTTCAAGAAAAGCAATTTCGGTCTGTAATAGCCGTTCAAATTCCTCCCTGGAAATCCCCACACTCTTTGACAATCTGTACAGGCTCTTGATGCTGGTGGAGATGTGTTGTTTAACGCCCATTTCTGCCTGCATGGTCAGACCAGCCGCCTCCTCTAATTTGCCGACAGAGCTCTCCGCCGAGGAAGACGATGGCCCGGCAGAAACCGGGCAGGGCGCATGTGTCACGACTCCTGCCAGTGCTTCTTTATCAATTAGGAAGGAAGCCGACATAGCAGTAGGCGGTGTAGAAGAAACAGTTGTAGGGGAATGTGATGATGAATGCTGCATGGTGAGAGGATTAGTGTATCGTGAGTACTCCAGAGGCGAGTTTGCTGATGAGTCCTCTGGTTCCATAGCGGGTTGAGTGTGGTCATATTGTGAATAGTAATCATCGTCCGCCATTTGGTCCACTTTTTGAGGCAACATGGGGCTCCGAGCAGGGGTGCGATCATACATATCCCAGTAGCCGTCATCATCGTCGTCGTTATCGGCTCTTAGGGCATCATTTGCATATGATGGGATAGGGTTAGTCACTGGTAACACAGGCTTTGCGGATCTGCTGTAGAACGCTTCGTCCGCTTCACGAACGGTTGGGCACCATTCGGTTTGCTCGGAATCTGATGAGAGATGCAAGTCCATGATTCTCCACCCATCATCTTCACCGTCTGGGTCGTTGGTAATCCATAGGTAGACCGCTTCAATACCACGTTCCGGAAGCTGAACGCATGCCTTTATCGTTTCCTTATCCAGTTGTTGGAACCCTTTGAAATCTATTTCGCCTAACTCTAATTCGCCGGAGGCTGGGTGTGGTGCAAAATCCTGCGTAGCGAGGTGTGCCGAGAGCATAGGGCCCGCAGTGGAAGACCAGGTTAAAAGTGAAAGCCAGGTCTCCTCTACGGAAGGAGTTGAACTTGGAGGCACCCTCAGTAACCGGAGGCGTTGCCGCAGGATTGGTGAAAGTAGAGGATAAAGTGATGGTGGAGGCTGTGGAGAGGTAAACGCAATTAGGATGTGGGCGAGAAGAGGAGGGAGAAGCTCCAGGAGCGCTGGCGGAGGAGGAGTAGTGTTGGCCATTATGGTAACTGATTTTTATGATATCCAAGTGAAGACCTGTGTGGTGCGGGAAAGAGGGGGTGAAGAAAGTTTGGGCGTTTGATGGGTTCTGCTTTTAAACAAATATCTGGAAGGCAACCTGGTCAGACTTCAGAGGCATGAAAATTGATTCGCTCCCGCTCGCCTACTCTATCAAGCTCGAGACTGGCCGCTGACGGAGATATGGAGAGGGCGAAGTGGTAACAAAGTGACCTGGCGGGGCGTCGGGCTAACACAGTGGATAGTCCGACGCAATACTAAGTTATGGACTAAGGACCTTCGCCGCGCTGCGCCACTAGAACGAGCTCGTGGGAGAAACGGAGTGGGGGATAATATTGAGAGTCCGAAGTTAGGCGATTTCACAAATTGGGGAGGACGGATGTATTGCTCATGGTCCTTGGAGGTCAAATTGATGCGGATGCCTATGGTACTTTCCGAGGGGGTTGCAATCTTGCCGAGGAATGCGAGACTTTCAGTCAAGTCGGAACAATAATTGTGTAGGATGTAGGAGTGGGAACAAGAGGACTCTAATAGCCGACTGAGGATTTGGGGGGTTGTGGGCCTTATGGTGGGGAGGGGTCGTTTTACGGGGGAGGGAGTCCGGACGGATGGAGAGGGAGGAGGCGTGCAAATGAAGTTCGGGGGAACGGAACCCCAGTTGTGTCTACTCGAGTACGGAGTATGACCCCAGTGAAGAGTTAATGTGGGACATGGGTCTTCTGTCTGGGAAAGTTTGAAGTGTTCGGTTGCCCAACTGCCCAGTGCTCACTATTCCCGTTATCGATTAGGTATCATACTGTACAGTCCATCAGATGATTGCAGAATCCCGTATTTGAACTGTTGAGTTCGATGTTAAAGCATTTCAGGATCCAGTGTGGGTGGGTTTGAGGAAACAGAGAGGCTGTCGGACCTGGTCATGTCTCCATAAAGCATCACACTCAGAGTCCGTTGGACGGCTAGACACAGGTTGAGTGACCCCGCCTCCTTGCCCCCCTCACCATCGGAGACATAAGCCAAAAAGAAAACATGAAAAAAGAGAATCCCCCTCTAGCTTTGTAGGCACCTACCGCTATGATCTCGTTGGCGACAGACCATTGTTGACTTGCTTACATAAGGGAACCTCTAGCTGGCTGTCGTCTACTAATTTGTTGTTTTAGGACATCCGTATATTATATTTTGGACTTCATTGTTAAAAAGAGAAGCTGGAGAGGCATGATACCGGTATTGCAACTTTTAAAACAGCAATTGACAATCTGGGCGAGGCATCTGCGGTTACTTACTGCTGCTTACTAAGCCTTTCATCAAGACTTTTGAATACCGGTACGATACTGCTCGAGTATCATCCTGAGTGTAAACAAAAATGAGTAATGACAATGATATTATATGTATTTTAATAAAAGCAGCTACTGCCGGTATGATACTGTATATGAAAAGTTTTCTCCAGCAAAAACCAAATCAAAAGTAAACGCCCATCATCCAATAATAGTTGAAATAATCTGTGGCTCGAGAACAAGTTATGATACAAGTTAGACTACCGGTATAGGTTAGTCTACCGGTACGGTCCCGGTCTGCCTGTGGCTAGACCTTTTATGGCTTGTGCTTAGTTGGACGAGAGGGGGAGGCCCTCCAATCTCTCCCTAAACCAACGCATTGATTAGCTAATAATTATGTTTCCTGCAGCGTGGAACTGGCGACCGTGTGCTTCCATCCCAGAACTTGAAGTGTGATATTTTAAAGGGGTTTTGCGGGTGTTTAGGTCACGCCTGTTTGGCCCTTTTCTATTTTTTTTTTAACGGCGTTCGAGTTGCCTGTGAATTTCACTCGTTCCCTGGTCGATCGGGGGAGCCCTCCGCCCCCCGAAACATCAGCTATCCGGCTGGTTGCAACCAACAACATTCGTCGCCCCTCCTATTCCTCAGCCAACCTCCTCCGCTATCCCCATCCTTCGCATTTGTACCTTGCCTAGCATTCTTTTCCTTCATTTTTTCCCCCTTCATCTCAAATCTACTACCTTCACAAACGAATCAAAATGACATCTCCATTCCTGGGGGTGTATACCGCTGTGTACGCGTATACTCCCCGAGATGATCAGGAGTTGACCTTGGAAGAGGGCGATCTGCTATATATCCTTGAGAAATCATCTGACGACGATTGGTGGAAGGCCAAGAAAAAGAGTACAGGAGAGGAGGAGGAGCCCATAGGTCTCGTGCCTGTCACTTACATTGAGGAGGTAAGGACCTTTTACTGCTGCACCCTATTGTGGGGTACCCATGCTTGGCTGGGTATGGCTTGTTGCCGGGCAAAATTCTGGAGTACCGTAGCGCCACTTCATGGAGAAGTTATAGAGCTAAAATTGTCTTCATTGTTTCCTAGGCCGACCCTGTTGGTAAATCCAAAGCACTCTACAGCTATACTCGACAAACCGACGAAGAGGTGTCCTTCGCTGAAGATGCTACCCTCGATGTTTATGACGATGTTTCGGATCCAGACTGGGCTCTTGTAGGATACAACGGTGAATTCGGGTTTGCACCGACCAATTACATTGAAAAAATTGGAGCTGGTGAGAGTAATCCACCTGCTTCTCCTACTGCCGTTTCGCCGCCTTCACCTATTCAGGCGCCGGCTGCTACGAGCAAACATGTTTCCTTCTCATCACCGCCAAGGGAAGACACACCGCCCCCACCGACTCCTCCGAGGCCCCAATCTCAAGAGTACTCACCAACTCAATCACCGGCTGCGAATGTTGCCACTGTTATGCACCAGCGAATTCCTCAGCATTCGGTTTCCTCTCCAAGGTCTCCTACTTCAGGAATGGCTTCACCTACTGGCTCAGCACCTCGATCATATAAGGACCGAAACCAGGAGCGGAGTCACGAGCCAAGCCATGATCGAAGCCGTGAACAAAGGTCGAAACAAGAGCAGAAATATATACACGACTTGTCGGATTCTGAAGACGGGGATGGGCCACGAATACCCTTCCGGCGGCCGGGTCAACCTCGTCATGGTGTTGAAGGCGGACATAGCCATGGGCGTGATTCGCCCCCGATTCCTCCTGGTTTCCAAACCTATCCAGTACAAGAGGTTGACTCCAGGAAGAAACGTGCTGCAACCCTTGGCTTAGGTCCTACGCGGATCATTCTCCTCCCTGACAAGAGCACCCGCCCTAAGGAGGAATGGAGCGTCGAAAATCTTAAGGGCTATAATGTGGAGGGAAAACATGTATTCCTTGAATTGGAAAAGCCAAGCCGTTCACTAGATCTCCACGCAGGATCTAAAGACACAGCAGAGCAGATCGTATCCGCCCTGTCCGAGATTCGGGGCGCTGTGAAAGCTGCAGGAATAAGTGAGGTCTTTGCTGCTGCTTCCGGAGGGGGTAAACGGAATGATATAGGAACTGTGCTCTGTGATTTTGCAGCTCAAGGAGAAGACGAAGTTTCGGTGACCACTGGTGACGAGGTTCTGATTTTGGACGAGTCGAACGATGAATGGTGGCTGGTTCGGAGGCAGGTTAACGGGCTGGAAGGCGTTGTGCCAGCTAGTTTCATTGAGAGGGGCCGGAGCAAGGTTGTTACCCCAGGTATCATGGCTTCGCCAAGCGACCCGAAGGAGCGAATTAAGATGCAGGAACACGGTGGGGATCCTAGGGCTAGCGGAATACCTCAGAGGACAAGTAGTTTGGCTGGAAGTCATTCAAGGGATGATAGAAGGAGGAGGAGACCCGATAGCATTGCATCAGATCAAGCCGGTTCTGGGAAACAGAGTATGCCCCAGCCTAATCGTTCTCGTTACAGAGAGGCGGGCCCATGGGCAGCGATCTTACTAACAGCTACAATCACAGAACCAGATAGTTCGCGGATCCGTCAATGGACTGATCGTACTGGGAACTTTAAAGTCGAAGCTCAATTTATTGGATGCAAGGATGGGAGGACTGGGGCGATACAAGTTGCTTGTAGAAGAGGTATAACCC